AATAAATGATAAATGATTATTCATAACAAATATGAGTGATGTGTGATTATTATTCATGCTATATACTGATATAGGGCTAAGTAAGCAATCAATCCTGCAAATGAACCCTTAGTTGTTCAATATATTTATTCAGACAATGTGAGTAGAAATACAGAAATTCTGCTCCCACCTAAGGCCAACGTTGCAATATTACAACATTTCCCTAAAAACTTACCAAAACGTAATCATTTTTAAAACTCTTTCATTTCTGCTCCAGAGGCCAGGGGTTACATTGGGATTTGATATGTCGGGGGGCTCTGTTAGAAGGTGCGGGGGGGGGGGGGGGGGGTGTTGTCGGCCGTAAGCGAACTGGGCCGTTGGCGTCCGGCCGTTCTGTGATTCTCCAGAACTTGGCTGGCCAGGGATAAGTCCCGACTCTCCCGACGGCCAATCCGTGCCTCCCCTGACTGCACGTTGCTGACACACACCGCTGCAAACTCTCTGCACGGAGGAGCCGCGGAGGAAGAGACACACGTTCACTAAGCCGAAAAAACTATATCCGGTCACAGTGATCTGCTATTTTAAAGTATATTCAACACATATCGACCCTAAATATAGCATATATTAAGAACGAGAAAGTGTTAACATCATTTTTTGTAAACATATGATAAATGTGCGAGGGTGATGACATCAGAGCATCGTCCTATGGGCTTAGCCCCGGACAGGTACAACAGGTATTCACTCAGAGGGGGGTAGGTACTAAATGCCACCCATTTACATGTAGGCAAACAGTCAAAAATCAACATACAGTAGGGGGGTGGGGGATGGTGAACGGTATGTGGGTATGTGGGACACTGAAAAGTCTATGTTAAAAAGCCTCAGTCACCTTAATTCATGTAATAAAAACATCTCAGGTCAGTAACACTGAAAGCTAAATGTGCAATACCATGTTCAGCTATGTTACTATTTATAATGTTATTGTTGTTACAACAGAAGATGTTTTTCTTTATATTGAAGTTAAATGCATCAATCTGGTGCACTTTGAGGTCAAAATTAAGAGATTTATGGATACCGCTGGAAAAAGCTGCAGTACATATGCCGAGCCTGTACGTAGCGCTGTAACTTCCTCCACAAAAGCAGCCTTCTGTTTATTCAAAGTGGTGGGGGCCGAGGGAACCGGGCAGAGTTGTGTGAAAGTTTAAATCTTCCTTATTGAGCTTTAAAACAAATGAATAATGACTATATATAATAATAAAAGAAACACCGGCTGTTGTTATGCCTGCTGTAACGTTAAATTACTCCGTTCTCCGCTTGTAATTATGCCGTTACAAGCTTCATAGTTGTATTTATCATCTAAATTTGCCGAAACAAGTTTAATATTCTGAAAGCCAAGACTTTGTTTATTTGAAATCAGATGAAAACAAACTGTAACGGACCCTGCCGTGTTATCTATGATTACTATGCCTTACTGTACATTCATAATTTCAGCCGGAGGGAGGGGGGCGGCGCTGTGGAAGAGCAGATTGCGAGTGAGAGGTGCCTGTCATCTTCCCTTTACAAGCTTCACAAATGTATTTATCGTGTGATTTTGGAAATAAAAGTTTCATATTCTGAAAGCCAAGACTTTGTTTATATATTATACGTGGGTAGGAGTTACCGTAAATGAGAGCTGCCGTAAAAGTGTTTCTAGGATTTCTAAACGAACTATTACAGCTGTTATAAAGCATTAAATAAAAAGTCATGAAAGAGATAAGGAGGAGAAAAGGTTTAAGGAAGTAAGCAAGGAATACAGAATGTCGAAATCCTCTGTTTCACGCGATTTCGAACATTGAAGACAGAGGACGGCGGTCCCCCAATCTACACAGCGGGAGAAAGAAGATCATAAAGCAGATCGGAGGAGACATCACGATCTTCCCACATTAGGGCAATTCACCTACACTTAACCCCAAATAAAAGAACCCAATAAAAACAGTCGTTAAATAATAGTGAAGTCACGTTGTAATAATAACTCATCTCTCGGTTTGAGTGTTCTTTTTCTGCTTTGCCTAAAGCCACTGTGTCAAGTGTCTAGTGACTATTTCTCTTAGCGGATGCATGTCAATTTAAATCAATACATACAACTATTTTTTAAGTCAATACATTTTTTTTCTAAATCCATAAAAGCATTTCAATTAAGATTGGGAGTCATGTCGTACTTTGTTGAGAATGTGGCCATGTAATAAGCGGGATAATTTGCAGCGACTTGGTCATTGTGGGGAAAAATAACACCCAGGGATCCTGATCGTTTTAATGAAGTTGAATACAGAATATTCATATTTGTCAGTGATTTCATGTCAATTCGGCGAACATAAATATAAATGATCGTGGTGAAGATGATGATTAAATTAGGATTAAAAATCGGGAGAGCCGGCTGCATTTCCTCTCGTTCGTTTTTTTCGACTAAACAACATTATTTTGTTAAATAACAACATGGTGATGTTTTGTAAATGATTACATGTCTTATTTAGCACAGACTATGATCCTATCCGTGACATATGGATCTTAACAAAGATCCGCTATACAGTAGTACCAGACATACTGTACATCCAGCTTACTGTATCGAAGTTGATTTCACATGAGCTCCAGTGTGGAACCCCACTGCACCCCCTGGTGGATCAATGATCCATTGCAGCTGGCTTCACAATAATTAAATGTATTTATCACGGGGGCGGTATCAAGTCAGACTGGGGGCCGGCTCTTCATCACGAACCTTTCACGGGGCGATCACGGACCGTGCACGAGCCAACCACGACCCTCGCGTTTCAAACTGTCCTAAATAAGACGCTCCATCTGTACAGCTCCTAAAGCATATAATCAGAATACAGCCGTTGTATAGTTTATTTTGTGAAGCACTAAATGGTTTTAGAAACATCTGGACTCTTTGTTTGTAGATATCTACTAAACTAAAGCAAATAAAGAGAGTAGGCCTGTTATACTTAGTGATATATATTATACACACTGCTCTGCTTTCTGCACGGACCTCACAGCTGTTCTCTCTGTAAACATCGCGTCGCGATGAAAGCAGTTAATAAAATAATAATAATTGGCTGAGATAAGTCCGGCCGTGCGTCACGACTCTTTGAAACATCTCTGTTGTCGGAAATGCATCCACGAAGGAGCCGTGGAGGACCCATCAGTGTATCCTCGGTTATAGCTCCTCCAGAGAGCCTCCTCGACGCTCGATGCTCGGTCCTCGAAGTGCATTTAGAGAAATTAGATGTCCTTCAACATGGCGCGCTGAAATTCATTTCCAGGTCACTACCGGAGGACCGAGGAGTCGAGGAGTGGAGGAGGGGAAATCCCAGAAATGAGATACGGCCAGAGACAGGAGCAGCTCACGTTCCTGGGTCAGTTTAGTGTTGTTTTGCTAGACGACACCTATCAGGAGAAGTTACTCTTTGAAAACAGAGACACCAGCTCTTTTCTCCCCAGCAGTCGCCTCAATATACCATGATGCAATGCAAAGCCCTGGTGCATGATGGGAAGCAGCAGCACTTTAACTCTGCTGGGAGACACATTGTGGGACATCCAGTCAGAGATATCAGCAACAGACAGTACTAGTTAGAGTTACAGAGAAAAGAAGAAGTCTACCTTTATTTCTATTTGAGATGTTTACATAATGGGTTGTTTCTTTCTAGTCTTTTAATTTCTCTAATGTACAATGCCTTGTCTTTTTATGCTGCTGCAACGCAAACATTTCCATTTCCTGAATTTTTAGATTTTCAGAAAAAAAATCAGAATTTTGAGAAAAAGTCAGAATTTTGAGAATAAAGTCAGTATTTTGAGATTTTGAGAATAAACTCAGTATTTTGTAGATGACAGGATGTATGATTATCTACAAGAACCGGTATTCCTCCATCTTGTGACTGTGTAACTCCCTCTCTGCACAATCAAGGGTTAAGTATGAAACCACGGTTAAAACAACCTTTACTGTTAGTGAAAAAGCTTCACTCACTTTATTTCAGCTTTTATGAATCCAAAATGTTGTGCCATCCACATATAAACACATGAATATTCAAAAGGGATGGCATGGTGTTGATGATGATTTATTAATGGAAACACATGTCACTTCTTCTTGCATATTGGAATGATTGGACGTGGTCCTTCAGTATGTTTAGAGCCTCCTCAACAAATGTGCTTTTTTATTCAAAAATAACAAACCTCTATTTTTAAATTGACCAAAGAATTAAAAAGTATTAAGCTGCTAAAATAATCTACGGAAAAAGGAGACTGCAATGTTCCTCCTGTGTATACAAGAAAATAACACGAATGCCTTTTTTAAAGTGGACCTATCATGCTATATTTGAATAATATAGTGTAGGACCATACCTATATAAGGCATATTTATACTTTTTTTTTTTCAAAATACATCATGCATTTTAGCCCTGCCTCATTTTGCTCAATTTGAAATTGTTTTGCTCTGTTTTTGTAAGGGAAGATAAGGGCAGAACAGCACCATCTACTGGCCTGGCATATGTACTACAGCGTCTCCAGCGCTTTCGAACGGCAATGGCCATGGCTGTCTCCTCCTGATTGGTGGAGTTGGCCCAATAGCCGTAGCGCCACCGTCCTGACGTCAGGACAGTGTTCAAACACATACATATTCATGTATAAAAGACGTACAAAAGTGCATTTTGCATGATAGGTCCCCTTTAAATTATGTTTTTGAAATTGTTTTCCATTTCGCAATATTTGTATGCAGTGGTTTAACGGCCAGCAGTGTACTTTACTACTTCTAATATTCACATTACAGTCGTGGGTGGAAATTAACAATATTTCCCATTTGATTTTGAAGATGTTCAAGTAGTGAGAGGACGATGAAATGAGTTCAGTCACTGGCTGATGGAACATTTAGAAGATGTGGAAATAATGAAGCATTTTGCTTTCAGTTATGCTTTAATTGATTGGATTGCTGGTCAGCTTTAGTATCATAGTACAGAGAGAGAAATACATGTTCAGGACAGACAGGTGTTAAACAGAAATATTGCTTAGCTGGGTGAATCAGTTTATTGATTAAATATGAAAGTGAATCAGGAGTGTGGATAAATCTTCAAAACACTGATGTCATCGAGGCCTGACATCCTGGTAGAAGTGACATCCTGACTGAAGATGTGATCATTTCAGGGAGGAGGAACAGACAAAAGGTTGCTTGTCGAGACAGTCTACGTCGTTGACATGTTTGTTAGCTGCAGGTTAAAGATCATCAAAAACAACACAGATTAGTTATCTGATGAATGAATGAAAGACAACATTAAAGAGGTATTGTTTTGTCATGTTTTTAAGTAACAACTTAAAAAGGAATAATTCAAATGTTTTATAATTCTCTTTAAAAGATTGTAAGCATAAATAAAGAGGACAACATATAATTGTATATTTTGTACCTCCATAGTTAACCTCCATACAGTGTTCCTTTCCTCTATAGTTGCTTGGCTCCCCCCCTGCCCCATCTGCTGAAGCTAAACTTAGAGCCATCGCTCCACAGCCACACTCCCTCCTGAGAGGAAAATAAATGAAAAGTCATTTTCTAGACACAATGATAGATGGATGACAATGCATTTTTTAATGATAGGACGCATAAACATGATCAAAATGAAAATATTACCCACATTAGTATACCTACTTCAATCACACAAAGCTACACTGAGACTAAGGCTGTTATATCTTCCAAATGAAATGGTAGGACTACAACTGCCAAACCTGAAATGGTACTACCGTTCTGCAATATTCTATTTCTCAGAAGAATCGCTTCCAGATAGGGGGGGGGGGGGGGGGCATTGAGCAATCATCAGAACCAAAGCTCCCACTGAAACTATATTTATACTCTGCAGATCCAAAAACAAATCCATTCCTCAAAAACACCATGGACATTGGGTACAGGCCCGTAAGCAGAGATGCAAAACCCAGGGCAAAAGCCCACAAGAAAAAGTTCTAATTGAATGCAGCCGAACCACTTATTACAATGCATTCATGTGATGACTTCCAAAGAGAAAAGCAAGCACATGCGGAATAAAGTATTATTTTCTTTAAAACTTTGTTTTCGTATTTTCTATCGCATAAACACCATATCCCAACGTGCATTGCGACTAAGACATCCAATCACCGAGCTTCAACGATAGCTGAGGATTATGGGTAGCGTAATGTTTTCGGCTTTCCAAAACTCTGAAAAATAAATGTGTCTCTCAGAATCAAAACGGAAAAACACAAAAGCATTGTACACAATTTAAACCAATTAATGTTGTGTAATTAACAAACTGATGTTTTTTAGTTGATGAGTACTGCAGATATCACTGTAAAAATAATTAGACAGTGAGGGGAATGATATGCGTCCCTAGCAACCACCTTAGTTACTATGAAAACGCAGAGGTCGGAAATACTGTTTTCAACCCGTGAGAGTTGACTATAACTTAACACGGACGCTGTTCAATAGAAATGAATATGGGGAAAGAGCAATCTCATAATTTCAAGGGGTGCACGCAGAGCAAACACTATAGTTTACATACGTAGGCTGATGGGCCATTAGGTGTGTAAACACACAGCTGAGAGCTGCCGTTTCATTCAGACTGTTTAAAAAACGGTAACAACGGACTATTTTTCTTAGCGGATGCATGTCAATTTAAATCAATACATACAACTATTTTTTAAATCAATAAAAACATTTTCTAAATCCATAAAAGCATTTCAATTAATATTGGGAGTCATGTCGATACTTTGTTGAGAATGTGGCCATGTAATAAGCGGCTGACAAGGCTCCATTAAAATATAAATATTTTTAGTGAATTACTGAGTTTAGGCACGTTAATAATGTTTTAATGAAGTTGAATACAGAATATTCATATTTGTCAGTGATTTCATGTCAATTCGGCATTCAAGTCAGACTGTGGGCAGTCTCTTGATCACGGACCATTCACGGGCCGTTCACGGGCCGACCACGACCCTCGCGTTTCAAACTGTCCTAAATTAGCTGCTACATCTGTACACATCCTCACATGCCTGTTCCACTGCCTGTAGAAGAGGCATGCACCCTCGAGGCTAATGGTACACCTTCCATCTCTCCTTTAACATACATAAAAAAGGTGACATCAGTAGGATCATCAACTAACATATCTCCCTAAAGGAACAAGTATTGTAAAATGACCCGTGTATCTCACCTATAACTTAGTAAAAACGATATCATGAGAACTTAAAACTTGCACCTTGACATTTTTTTTAAAGTAATAGTCATGTACAATTATGTAATATATATATATATTTTAAATGGACCATTGTTCAAATTAAATACTTGTATTACCGTATTACAGATGTAGGAGCTTATTTAGGACAGTTTGAAACGCGAGGGTCGTGGTCGGCCCGTGAATGGCCCGTGAATGGCCCGTGAAAGGCCCGTGATGAAGATCCTGCCCCCAGTCTGACTTGAGACCGCCCCCGTGATAAATACATTTAATTATTGTGAAGCCAGCTGCAATGGATCATTGATCCACCAGGGGGTGCAGTGGGGTTCCACACAGGAGCTCATGTGAAATCAACTTCGATACAGTAAACTGGATGTACAGTATGTCTGGTACTACTGTATAGCGGATCTTTGTTAAGATCCATATGTCACGGATAGGATCATAGTCTGTGCTAAATAAGAGACATGTAATCATTTACAAAACATCACCATGTTGTTATTTAACAAAATAATGTTGTTTAGTCGAAAAAAACGAACGAGAGGAAATGCAGCCGGATCTCGATTTTTAATCCTAATTTAATCATCTTCTTCACCACGATCATTTATGTTTATGTTCGCCGAATTGACATGAAATCACTGACAAATATGAATATTCTGTATTCAACTTCATTAAAACGTTATTAACGTGCCTAAACTCAGTAATTCACTAAAAATATAATATTTTAATGGAGCCTTGTCAGGCAGATCAGGATCCCGAATACTTTTATGGATTTAGAAAATGTTTTTATTGATTTAAAAAATTGTTGTATGTATTGATTTAAATTGACATGCGTCCGCTAAGAAAAATAGTCCGTTGTTACCGTTTTTTAAACAGTCTGAATGCTGTGTGTTTACACACCTAATGGCCCATCAACCACAGCTCTCTCCCCCCCCCCCCTGATCTTTCTTCTCCAGCAGTTAAGTTAACTGTAGGTTACTCTGAGTGACAAGCTTACAGTTAGTGAAGTAACACTTTTTTTGTGTGAGTCACGACCTGGCTGTTTCATTCTAACATAACGCTCCAAATGCTACTGTTTCCACTCGGACTTCAATACAGCTACACCATTGTTTGGTTTCCATGGTAACGCGTCTCTTTATATATACAGTCTATGCTCTTTAGTAGCGCGCACTCCTTTCCTGTAAATTACAGGTCCAGCTGCTGCATGAGACAGACACTGAAAAGTATTATAATCTGAAATTAATCATTATGTTATTAGTATTAAATACATATAAGTATTTTTACAGCTTGTATTTAGAAATACTCTGTTGTAATTATTGATGCATACATGTGTTCATCCATTCAATGTGGCATCTGCTATAATGGGGTTAATGTATGATATTACTTAATAATACAATACACTATATAATATATGTGACCCGCTCTATCGAAATCAGTCGGAAGTCGCAACGGCTCATTTCAAAATAAACGTGGATTTGCGTAAAAAACTATATTTTCGGGGTTCGGGTGTTTTGTTTGATTTTAAATAAACAAAGTCTTGGCTTTCAGAATATGAATCACACGATAAATACATTTGTGAAGCTTGTAAAGGGAAGATGACAGGCACCTCTCACTCGCAATCTGCTCTTCCACAGCGCCGCCCCCCTCCCTCCGGCTGAAATTATGAATGTACAGTAAGGCATATAATCATAGATAACACGGCAGGGTCCGTTACAGTTTGTTTTCATCTGATTTCAAATAAACAAAGTCTTGGCTTTCAGAATATTAAACTTGTTTCGGCAAATTTAGATGATAAATACAACTATGAAGCTTAAGGCATAATTACAAGCGGAGAACGGAGTAATTTAACGTTACAGCAGGCATAACAACAGCCGGTGTTTCTCGTGAGTGTTTTCCCCGGGAAACAAACACAATATACACTTACGCAAAAATACACAAACACACACACACACATACACTCGCGAGCTTCCCCCAGACCAGTAATCCAAACGGAAATATTTTCCCTCCGGACTATTTTGATCATTTGCTCCGCTAATAATCAATCAGATCGATGGATTCCAGAGAAGAGGAAACTTTGAAGGCCTTTTTCTCAAAATGATGACTCGGTGACAGTCATTATATAATGTGACATATTTTGCTTAATATTTGGAGTACAAAAACAATCCTGATACCATTAGAAAGCTAGGAATCTCATCTTTCCAACAGTGTATACAACTCAAAATGTGTCACTCATTACTGGATCAGCTGCTGCATGAGACAGACACTGACGCTGTCAGAAGAGAGGGAGGACAAAGAGAGGCCCGGCTCCCTGTATTTTATTATTATATATAGTCGTTATTCATTTGTTTTAAAGCTCAATAAGGAAGATTTAAACTTTAACACACGTTGACCGGCGAAAAACTCTGCCCGGTTCCCTCGGCCCCCACCACGTTGAATAAACAGAAGGCTGCTTTTGTGGAGGAAGTTACAGCGCTACGTACAGGCTCGGCATATGTACTCCAGCTTTTTCCAGCGGTATCCATAAATCTCTTAATTTTGCCCTCAAAGTGCACCAGATTGATGCATTTAACTTCAATATAAAGAAAAACATCTTCTGTTGTAACAACAATAACATTATAAATAGTAACATAGCTGAACATGGTATTGCACATTTAGCTTTCAGTGTTACTGACCTGAGATGTTTTTATTACATGAATTAAGGTGAATGAGGCTTTTTAACATAGACTTTTCAGTGTCCCACATTTTGCACAGAACTGTCCCACATTAGGAAATGCAGATTGTCTGAGACAACTTGGCACTAAGAGTAGGCTACTGATATGTCTACCATTTCTTTTATGAGTGTAATATCTGCATTTTCTATTTTGGTTTGATTAGTTTGTGTTTTCAAACATTGACCATACCGTTCACCATCCCCCACCCCCCTACTGTATGTTGATTTTTGACTTTGTTTGCCTACATGTAAATGTGGCATTTAGTACCTACCCCCCTCTGAGTGAATACCTGCTGACTTCACATCTTGTCACAAACTTTTTGGAACGCATACGGCAAAACGCATAGGATTAACGCAAACGCAATCGCCAAAAAGCTTCCGTCCACACGCAATATACACCGGATAGTGTCTTGCCACACGAGACAGCTCCGTTTAGATCCAACCGCTGGAAAAGCTGCAGTACATATGCCGAGCCTGTACGTGGCGCTGTAACTTCCTCCACAAAAGCAGCAACTTCCTCCACAAAAGCAGCGAAGAAGAATGGTTGTCATGGCTGCACTTCTGTTTATTCTCCTTGGTGGGGGCCGAGGGAACCGGGCAGAGTTTTTC